CCGCCCCCGATCCACGCCCTTCTCGGCGATACCACCAACACCCCCGCCGTGCACGACGCCGCGCCCGCCACCGCAGATTACGCCCCGGAGGTCCCCGTGCCCGACGTGCCGCAGACAGACAACCTCGTCCCAGACACCACGGCCCGTGAAACGCTTGTGCCCGACATGCCGCCGAAGGAGACGCTTGCACCGAAGATGCCGGTCCGCGAAACGCTCGTGCCCGCTATGCCGGCGGTGCCCGACATGCCGGCGGTGCCCGATATGCCGGCCCCTGGGACGCTCGTGCCGGACATGCCGGCCGTACCCGACATGCCGGCCGTACCCGACATGCCGGCCGTACCCGACATGCCGGCCCGTGAAACGCTCGTACCCGACATGCCAGCGCCTGGAACTCTCGTGCCAGACATGCCGGCTCGTGAAACGCTCGTGCCGGACATGCCCGCGCATGAGACCCTCGTACCCGACATGCCGGCAGCTGGCAAGCTGATGTCTGACATCCCGGTGCCTGACATGCCCGCGACGGACGTGCCAGTAACTGACATGCTTGCCTCCGTGCCGGCGGTGCCGGATATCGTCCCGGAGCTCCCGCCCATGCCGACCGAGAACTTTGCCGCCCCAAAGCTGTCAGACTCTGTCCCCGAGTTTCCCGCCTATGCATCAGAGAAGATCACCAGTGTCCCGGACGCCCCTGTTGATATGTCAGACATTATGCCAGTGACATCGGTGTCCGACGCTATCGAAGAGATTGAAGAGGTCGACGACGTGGACGAAATCATAACGCAGGTGCCGGCCTAAACCGGCCTTGATCTTTTGAGAGCGTAGATGCAGCCGGTAGAATGTTTCAGGTGGGGTGGGGGAAGGGAGCCCATTGCTTGTAGAATCTTACTCGACTCGAGCCCAACCGCTAGCCATCGCCACACATGTTCTCTTCTGCAGTTTACTTTTTTTTGCGCGGCTTGCCCACAGTACGGCATCGTAGTATACATGCCAGCGCAGATTTCATACGCAGTTTGGTCGATGCCGCTCGGCTCGGTTCGACATGAATAGCACGATGATATGCGCTGTTTGAGCACGTGTCTTTCGGTATATGTTTTTCGATAAATGGTTCTCTTCAGTTGTAACATTGGCCAGCTGTAGGTGGCTGCTCGTGGAGCTTGGTTGATATGCTGGACCAGACCTTGATACACACCGTACATACGGGTCTGCAATCGCCGATAGCTTTTGTCGGTCGTCCTGGCGTCAGGGTAGTATGTCTCAGATGAGGTCACTATTCAACCGTCTGTTTTTGGACTTAGGGTATGTAGATTGCACTGCCTGTAAATATTTTTGTTCAATGTAAGAGTTGGAAAGTTGGCCCCGACACCGAAACTGAACCGCGTGTTACGGCAGACGATGTCCCACCGATGGCTTCCTGTCTATCCAAGCGGTCTAGGAATTTTTCTGGAAGAGCCCTCTCTGACATCCTTTACACCTTCTTTTTGTGATATCTTCAATGCCAAAAAACGTCTAGCAGAAATCCAACCTCTGATGCAGAAGCTTCATTGAATTCTTCGTCTTTCACTGCGTTCAATAATACTACTGTACTGAATCCCGATGTTACGCAAGAGGCTACTCCCGAGGGCAAATGCTGTAACCTAAGGGTACTGTACGTTAAAAACCTGGAATTCTCACTTGTATTGTAAGTTGAGTGAAGTGAAGGCTGGGTGGTTGAACCCGAGGCCAAGCCTCATTTTCTCGGCAAACTGAAGGAGGTCTTCTGGCTAGACACTAGGTATTTAGTAAGCAGAAGCACATCATACGGAGTACAAGCGTTCCATGTCGACAGACGTAGCACATGTGTGCTTCAAACGTACGTCCTGTAAAAGTAAAGTAGTTCGCCTTGAAGGCTCTGCGGTAACCTCTTGTGTTGAGGGAATGTTTCGTTCAAGTTCTCTGAGAAGCAATCGTAGAAGTGCAAGTGCTCACCAGTTCAGACACTACGGCCTGTTTGTCCACCACACATTTACAAACAAGCGCTTATAAAACTTGGCCCGCTGTATTCCATCACAACACAAACTCGTCTGCGCATGCAACTTTTGTTTTACATCGTAGTGCACACATAAAATGGTCTCTTTGATACAAATTGGAAAGGTCCGCGCACCGCAAGGTGTGGATATGCTCAAGTTATGAATGTTTAGTATGAAGTCAGTCGCTAGATAAGTCACAAGTTAGTTTCGGCTCTGTCACGAGTCCAACTAAAACGCAAAGGAGAATGGCACTAGAATTTTCACTCCTGATGCAAACCAGACAGTGCACAGTACATGCGTCAGGCTACCAACGCATCACTCTGTCCTGCAGGGGAGCAAAGGAGTTGTAACTGCCACTGAATGCCGAACCACCTGAATGCACATTTTGATGCATGTTGCCACCATTCGGCATCATCATTCGCTGCTGCCACGGCTGCTGGAACCCTTGAAACTCGTTGTCCGCGACCTGATTCGGTCTCCCAGACATCTGGTTGGATTGCAAAGCTGTGATAGGCACGTATACAGGCACAAAATCAGGGTTGCCGGCCTGAGGTCCATGCGAGGCGCCGAAGTGGCGTCCCCGAGGCTCGAAAGACTGCTGGGCCTGTCGCGTCTGCGTGATCCCCGAATCCTTTGCTGGTTCGGGTCGTCTCCCAAGCGCCTTCCTCGCTAAAAAGTTTCTCGTCATGGGCCTCTCCGAAATGCTATGAGTCACTGTGGTTTCGTGAGTCGCGCCATTCATCTTCTCAATGCGCAGGCCTCTTGAGGGAAACCGCGGGATGAGTTCACGAGCAAATTGGCAGCAGACCGGAAGTGATGACACAAACCGAATTGACTGCACGGCTTCAAGTGCAGCCAGGTTTGCGGCAATGGGGTCGCCATGGTAGGTTACAAATGCAACTTTCCTCCACATTCCATTCTGCAGACGGGGAATTTCAACCGAGCAGTTGCCGTGCTTGGAGAAAGTAGCTGACAAAAGATCACGAAGCGAATTCGGTGGGCGCGGCACAGAACTATGGAACTGCACTGCGACGCATGCCTTCAAGGGTTCCGCCTCAGCGTAGCGAACGGAAAGACGTCCCTTGAGGTCCGTCTTGTCCAACGTCCTCTTGGCCCTTTCCGCTGCGCCGCGGTTCTTGTAGCGTACAAACGCGTATGACCTGCGCACAATGACAGTGTCCTCTTCGACAAGGCTTCCAAACTTTCCAAATAGACTCTTGAGCTCATCCATGCTCACCGAAGGGGCCAGGTCCGAGACGTACAAATGGGTATTGCGTTCAGCACGGCCGACTCTGACGCAGGCATTGCCAACCTTTGTGCGATGCCCCGCGACCAGAGCGAAGTTGGCGGATGACTCATTATTAAAGCTCAAGAAGCCATAGCCGATGGGAGAAAAGCTGTCCGGGTCGCGCTTGAGCAAAGCCGAAACCGGTTCGCCAACAAGCTCGGAAAACGTGGCCTCAAGCATTTCTTCCGTGACATCCGGAGTCAAGTCTCCTACAAATAGCTGCGCGCCCGGGTCACGCGACCGAAGCTCAGCTTTGAGCGGGGGCTCCGAATCAGAGCCAACGAGGGCATCTCCGAGAAAATGCTTGGCCTCCCGCGCAGCGGCGGGGTCGCGATACGTGACGTCGCACACGTACGGGTCGGCGGCCGTCCACACAAGCTCTTCCACTTCCCCGAACGGTTCGACCATACTAAGTAGACGATCATACGTAACGCCGCGGGGGAGTCTGGCAATGCGAAGCGTATCCGCATTGCTGTTGGTAATGTCCTGACAAATGAGCGGGCGAGTGCGCGAGCTCGGTGTAGACAGCTTCAGTTTGGCAGCCAGGCTTGCGACGTCCTCGACGTCGACGACACGGCCCAACTCAGGCCTTTGCAGCCCCCCCTTGGGGTCCACAGCGACAAACGGCGGCGGGATGTTCTCCGAGTCCTCGCACTGATGCATCGCCGCCGCGGGGCGGGCCGCCTTGGGCGGCGACAAGGCGGCGACCAGGTCCGGTGGCGGCGCAGCAGAGGCGTGGGCGACGGCATGGTTGCACAGCTCCTGGAGTGGGTGGACTTGAGCGGGCGGGGAGGCGAGCAAGGGCGGCTGGGCGGGAGTCTGGGGCGGCGGGGGCGACTTTTGTGCGTGTGAGGACGCCGGGGCCATGGGGGCGGACGGCTGGGCAGGCGGGGGGGGCGGCTGGGCGGGGCTGGCGTGATGCTTGGGGTGGGTCGCGGTGCGCGGGTGGCGGGGCGGCTTGGCGGCGTCGGGGGCGGGAGCCGCGGGCTCGAGGGGAAGCTCGGGGCGGGCTTTTCCTTTGCGGTGTCTGGAGTGCTGCGGAATGGAATGGAGGGGTGTTAGAGGCGAGGTTGGGTAGGTGGTGAAATGGAATGGGAGCGGGACGTACCATGCGACGAGTGCGGACTGTGCCCGAGGGCATTGCTGGGCGGGGAGGCGCAGACCTTTCGGAGGGGGAAGTCCTGTCTGGAAGCGAGTCTGGGGAGGGTGTCATGTCGGGAAGCAAGGGGTGGCTGTACGGTGAAGACTGTGGGAGGAGGGACCGTGCGGCGCGGGTAGTAGGGAAGCGATGGGGGGGAAGCTCGAGAGGAAGGAGGAAGCTTTTATAGATAAGACAAGCCGAGCCGGTGGGGGAAAGTGGGAGGGGGAAAGGGGAGGGGGAAGTGGGAGGGGGAAATGGGAGGGGGAAAGGGGAGGGGGAGAGGGGAGGGGGATGTGGGGAGGTAGAAGTGGGGTTGGAGATTTGGCAGGTTTCGTTTGCGGATGCACAGCGGTTTCGATTCATGGATCATACTTTTCGCCGAAATGGCAACAAATTCAGCGCCCAGCACTCACCGAATTCCGTGTCTCCGACATCACGACAACAACCGTCTCTTCCAACCGTCTCTTCTTCACGACCCGGCGACAGCTTGCCCTCTGCCTCTGCCACTCCCGTCTGCGACCCCAGTATCTCCCTCTGTCTCCACCCGTTCCCCGCCGCGTCCTCCATGCGACCCCCACTCTCTGCCCTGTGCCAAGCCACCGCCGTTTCCATCGCCACCATCCTCGGCACGGGCATCCTGGGCCTGCCGGTGTCTCTGCACTCGTCCGGCATCCGCCCGTTTTTCCTCACCTTCACCCTCGCCCTGTTCGCCCAACTAGCCGTCGTCATCGCCACCGTCGAGGTGCTCCAACGCGCGCACAAAGACCCGCAGCCCGCCACCTCCGACTACCACCCATTGCCCAATGAAGATCCGTCCTCCGCGCAACCGCTTCCTTCACACGCCCCACCCCACGAAACAGCTCCATCCCTCCACTCGATCGCCCACCACTTTCTTCCCAACAAACCGCTCCGCATCACCTTTAACGCTATCGTCGTTGTTCACTTCGTCTTCATCCTCGCCGCCTACGCTCTCGCCGGGCCCCAGGCATTCGCCGCCCTCATACCTGCTTTGAAACGCGCCCCGAGATGGGCACTGCCAACCGTCTTTCTCCTTGTCAACGTCCTCGCCGTCATCTGCCTGGACCGCGCCCTACTTCCATCGCTCACGATCGCCACCCTATTCAAGGCTGCTCTTCTCTCGTCTATTGTCTTCGTTGTTTTCGGTAGGGGATTAGCCATTCACGAGGACGTCACCAATGACTGGCGCCCTGCCGCTCTCATCGATCCCTTTCTCATGGGCACCTTTGCTCTCAACGGAGTCGTTAACATTATGCCCGTCACCTTCCAGGCCTGTCTCGAAAGTACCCGTGCACCCGACGGTACCATCCCACCGCTTGATCCCCCATTTTTGCGCGCCTATCGTATGTCCACCGTTGCCGCCATTGTCATCTGCTTTATTCTTAACGTGTCGTGGTGTGTCGGAATCCTCTTGTGCGTTCCGCAAACCAGTCACACGATTCGATCCGTCGCTGCCGCCAGTGGCAACCACGACATGACCGTTTTATCCAATTCTATACAACTAACCCTCAATGCAGTAAACGCTACGCATTCGGATGCTTCTCTCACGCAAGCAAATGAACTCGGTCAAATCAGCACGATTCCGTTGATAGAAGTTCTCCAGGCGAGAGGAGACCAATTAGACTGGCTCATGGCCCTTCTTGTTAACATTTTTATCGCGCTCAGCATCACTGTCTCATTTCTCGTCATGTCTCTTGGCCTCAAACACTTCCTCGACGGCCAAGCCCGCGACCGGACGACTTCGACTACATCAATGGCGTACGATTCATATCGTATATTGCAGTATGCCCAACACTATCTTTTCGTCTTGGTCATAGCTGTCTTCAACCCCACCGGCCTTTTCAAAATCATGGAAGGAATTACAGGACTCAGCCTCAATGTGGAGGCCGGTCTGTTCATCTTGTACATGCTGCACATCGGTCGAAGAATGAACAAGCAAATCCCTGCTCCGCTTTCACACACTCACGTACTTGTGGTACTTTGGTACGCCGGTGCTTATTTTGGCAGCGCAGTGCTGGTTGACATCTTATTCTACCTTCCACATGCCTTTTTATGACACTCGCATTCACTCCGTCACTCACGGTCAGGCGCTCTTTGTAAAAATCACCCTGAGCAGTCTCGCCGCAAGAATGTGATTGCTACTATACTCATTTATTCCAACTCAACGTAGATAGGCAGGCTATCAATGCCCTTCTTTAATCCATCGAATGCCCAACGAAACGATATGTGTCATGTTCGTGTCTGGTCCGTACACTTCGATGGGAATGTCAAGGTTGTTGCCGAGGTCTCGCATCAACTGAAGCCCAGCCTTGTAATTTGGCCCGCCACGACGGACGAAGACCTTGACCTTGGCCATCTGCAGCTTGCCATGAAAGTCGGTGAGAGCCTGTTGAAGGCCGCCAAGAGTTGCTGCTATGTCGCTAAAGTTTGCAACACCTCCGCCGCAGATCAATGAGCGCCTTTTCCCATCCGGATTACGAGTGACCAGATTGAGAAGCGTTCTGGCATACATATAAGTTTCTTGCTCTTTTGGATTTCCAGAATACTCGGCGTAGTTTCCGAGCTCATCGCCAAAGCCCAGCTGCACGACTTGATCGGCGTAGATAACCGAAGCACCGCCACCAGCAACCATGGTCCACATCCTTCCCTCCGGATTGAGGACGGAGAGCTTCATGGAAGCGCCCGATCTATCATCCATGGCCTGGATTATGCGCTCCTCTTCGCATTTCTGTCGGCCCCAGGGCTCTGGCAATTCAAGATCTGGGCCCCACAGCTTTGCATTCTTGAACGAGGCATAGCTATCGAGTTCGACGCGGGAATCCAAGATGGCAGGAAGGCCTTGTTCGTCGAGTGCAAACGGATTCATCTCCAGCATCGTCATATCTAACTCTACGTAGGTCTCGTAGCACGCAACGATGAAACTAGCGAGAACCTGTTTGCTTTCCGCCGGAATGTCAGTACCCTCCAGCAGCGGGGCGACATGCTTTTCGTGATCAAGCAGCGAATCAATTTCTGGCTCTCCGCTCGGGACAGTAACCGACTTGACCTTGTCCCAGTTGTCCTCGATTTCAATCCCTCCGCACGCGCCAAAACTCAAGCGATCGCCCTCGCGCACCGTCTGTATCGACAAATAATACTCCTCCTTGTGCGGCACGAACGGCTCAATCAAAAAGGTGGTGAGGGTGCCCTTGACGCCCGACACGTCAACCTCGGTGCCGATCTTGTCTGCGATAAACTTTTGGGCAGTTGCATAATCGGCGTTGAGCAGGACGAGGTTGTTCTTGCCGCGCTTTCCGAAGAGCATGTCCGGCTTGACGACGAGCTTGGTCTCGAGCAACCACGGCTGTTCATTCGCGAGCTTGTTGTAGAAGGCCTCGGCGGACACCGCTGCCTCGACGGCCGAGGCACTCACCTGCGCGGCGTTGAGGCAGTGCTTGGGGGATGCGACGTTCGCGCCGGCACCCCCCAGCTTGACATTTTTGCGCTTGACTATGTGCCTCGCGACAATGCGCTTGCCATCGTATTCGCGGATCTTCTTGCGCGCCATGCCGTGTGGGTGAGGCGGATGGCGACGAGGGAGGTTTGCGGGTTGGTGAGGGGAGGGATGTGACGTGTTGATGGGGCAGGAAGATCAATCATCGACAAGGCGATCACAATCCCGGAGGTTTGCCAGGCATGCGCATTACAGTATGACATCAGACATGCGGGTTTCATGGCAGGAACAAAGGGATCATGGATCTAATTAACGAAATCCAATTTTGTGCAATCCGAGCGCATTCACGATGCATTGCCAAGCGTCCGCATTACAGTGCGACATGAATGTAGGCGGGTTTCATGACAAAAAGAAAGGGATCATGGATCTAATGCAGGATCTAATGAACGAAGTCCCGATTTAGACACAGAAGAGTTTTCGCAGAGCACCGGCGCAGCGTGTGGAGAAGTGGTGGTGCCCCCTTGACCTCCTTTCTATAGCAGCCTCCATGGAAAGGTTTCTATGGAGGCTGCGCAGAGGAGCCGCGCGTGCTGTATCCCGCCGTCCGGAGATGTGGAGAGCGCCACTGTATTCCCGTACCGACATCACCGCTCACGCGTGAACACTCCCTTCCTCAAACATTTATTCTCCAAAGTAGCGCCTCTCTAAGAGGCAATCCCTACCTTTCTCGAGAGAAAAAAACAGCCAAAGATCAACTGTACGTGCAGTGGGGGAGAAAAGGAGAAAAGGGATGGCAGTGTGAGACTCCCATCATTCGCAAGACCGACTCACTGCTCCCCCTTCCGCGTTACACGTACGCCGCGCGACTCACCCCCGTCTTGACTTCGAACCACCGTCGTCGCACCCAAATCCACTCGTTCACTTCCGCCCCTTAGCAAATGCGCCATGCACGCATCTCAAACCACAGATCTACTTTTTGCATCCCGTCTTCGTTGCCCTACCAGGGAAAGTGAGTGACATTAAACAAAGGAGTGGAAACCGGCCTTCGGCCGCTTCCCACCCCAACTTATCACCTTCCACCACACCGCAACTACTCCCTCGTCCATACCGCCCTTCGGAGCTGTCGAGACACCGCCACCGACCCGTAAACATGTTCTAGACAGCAAGCACACCACTCCTATTCCACTCCTTCCATCGCCTTTCCAGTTGCCCGTGCCCCACCTTTTAAACCTTACAAATCTTTCCCCCACCGCCGTGCCCCCACCGCCGTGCCCCCACCGCCGTGCCCCCACCGCCGTGCGGAACCATCTATCCACGTCGCTGTACTTTCCGCAACGCCGGATGCGAACGCAAGCCTCCCAGAATTCGATCCTCTCCGCATACCGCCGCATGCACATGTCAATCCGCCGCCACATCTTGTCCCCTCCGACGTGCTTTTGCGCTGACATCTGATACCATCCAACTCCATTTCCACCGTCTTGGGCAACCACCCGCTGTTGGTAACAACGCGGCAGGTGCGTTCGAACAAGTCTTCTAGCCGCTGACGGGGGCATGTCTTGGGCAACCACCCGCTGTTGCGTTCGAACAAGTCTTCTAGCCGCTGACGGGGGCATCCCGGCCTTCACTATTTCTTGTCCATCCGAGAACATTCGAGACTGGTTACCAAAAAAAGCAAGGGCATGTCCGCGAAACGTAGAGCTTATGATCGCACAAATCCCGACCCTCGCGACGGATCGATTGGGCATCGTCAAACAAGATATACATATCATAGAAGAGAATATTCTATGATGTTCAAGTCGTTCTATTCTGGGAGTTCGACCTTATGACTCACCTGCGAACTTGCGCTGATAAACCCTCTCGAACGCGAACAAAGTTGTACGCACAACTTTTACAAAACGCAATCATTTCCTCGCTACCATTCAGTCTGCAATACCTTGCGCCAGGCACTAAAGTCCCTCAGTTCTACCAATCCTATTGTCATGAACTCTGCGTTTGCATCCGCCCCTCCATGTCTTTTCGAGGGGCAAGTCATGTTCTCTCGAGGTTGAGGAGAACTGATACTGTCCTTACAAGATAGACACGTGCATAGATCGTATCCGTACACGTAGAATAGAAAGGTTTGCTGAGAAAGGAAAGAGCGAATTCTACACAGGGCGCAATCTAAATAAGACGGAATTACACACACAATTGACAGCGGCTTCCCAATTGCTCTTTGACAAGCAGGTTGCTATGCGCGAAGTTGTCGGGGCGTAGTTGATAAGCAGACGAACAATAGGTCAATTGCTGGACGAAGCCATGTGGCAAGTTGAACCAATGTCTTTCAGGTCCAATATGCACACATCTTGATCAGTATAATACATTAAAGACGCTTGTATTGTAAGGGCATGGAATACGAAAGCTCACTGATAGATATAAGTTTTGTGGTAAGCGAAACCAGAATTGGAGGTAGCCATTTATTGATGCACTTCACAGGTTCTCAAAGCACATTCCTAAACACAATAATATCCCCGTAGGTGGGGGAAACATTACATATCGACTGAGGTCGTAGAAGCTCAGATAAAGCGTTGACACCGCACCAGACATCGTTCTTATAATTTTCTTCGACGACATTCTCTTCGCACTTTTTCCATAGCCGAAATAGTTCTCCCCCTCTTGAAGATCATTCCCCTTGCTCTTTTTGTGCAGCCCCGAGTCTCTTCGTAATCACCGCAAATTCGCAGTCGGTTGCATGCCCGGATTATATTGAGCTCGCTTCCAAGATGATAATAGCAGGATTCAACAGCCCCAGAAAGCGTTTTCGGCGATAATACTTGCTTAGGTAGTAATGCTGAGTGTCCATCCCGTTCGAGAAAGAGACAATTGCAAGCATGAAAGTCCCCGTATCTCGCAAGTCTGCAAGGGTACTCGTCGGGCAGCTTCGGTTCCGAGGAGGTAACTTTGCGCCTTTGAATTACGGAAAGAGGAAGGGAATCGCTCTGATGAGTTGTTACGAGGAGAGTGAACAGAAAGAAGAGGAACATGCGCATCATGATGGAGAAGGAGGACACTGAGAGAGAACGTTTAAAGACGCTGCGTAGACGTTGGAGGGAGGCACAGGTTCGTGTGGAAGAATTGCGAACGGAAGATGAGGGAACGTTTATATAGGCGGGCATTATCAGGCCCTCTTACCTCTTCTGCCGATCTCGTTACCTTTAATGTCCCCATGAAATGCCATCCGATTTCTGCAAAGACTTCTCACATGACTAGTAGACTCTTCATGGGCCTCAAGGGCTGTGTGTATATTTAGATCCCTACGGATACATGCCACCCACACGTGGCAAATGGCCATTATACTTGGTGATGGGGGGCGGTTTGAAAATTGCCCTTGTACAGTATTGGGGAAACACTGCACCTTCCATTTCAGGATAGAGGTGGCCAGAAGGCATACAACGAGGTTGTATCGGAAGCTGCCGTGTGACAGAAGGGCTGCTCGCAACTTATTCTTGCAGACGCAACAGTTTACGTCATACAGGAGGCACTTTTAAGGTCGGCGAGCATAGCATGAAAACATACTGTGAAGCAGGTCAGGCAACCCAAACACAGCTGCTTTTAGTTTCAAGACCCACAACTGAGTTGAAAAGAGACGCAGATCCCTCGTGTATGCGCCTCGTTTCATTAACCATTCACTGCCAGGTTGAAACTTGGTGTACGTTACACAAGGCGCAGAGTTTCTAAAAACCAGAGAGCATTGATCTCCATACTTGTCCGGAGCGCGGTATGTACATACGTGCAGCGTTGTATCTTAGTACTTATGGTTGCTCATCTGCCATCTCGAATGTTTACATTTCGGGTCTTAGCTCTGTTGTAAATAAAGACGGCATGTTTTGGGGTACTTGTAAATAGAACGAAGTCCTACAGATGTCCTTCATCCCGAGTGGGACTCACGGCGAGTGGATAGCTCCATTCGGAAAATTGATATTCGATACCATAGTATTGACCTTTTTGCGAGATGAAAATGACTCATGCACACCATTCCTTCTACGAGGGCAGAGTCTCGTTTGATCATTACTTCTTCCGTACCTTGTGTATGGGTACTGTTGAAGTGGTCAGTATTTCTCCTCTCTTGCATGTGCAACACGTCATCGAATAAATGTGAGAGGCTTCCACTGCAACATTGTGGTCCCGTCATCCAGTTTTCGCATGTTTCCATTGGTTCCGTATAATTTTGATGGAGTTGGCCTTGCTCATAGGTACCGGCATGGTGTGCTCGACGCGAATTCCCATCGTTTTCTGGAGTTGTCAACGACCACTTATCCGCACAGGCCGTCAAATATTGTAGAACTCATTTTAGGGCATCTGGGATTTCGTATGCTGACCAAGCGTCATATCACTCCAAGGGCTGATTACTGCTCACCGCACTATTCGACTACTGCTCTGGACGACTCCCCGCCCTTGTGGTCCTTTTGGACTTTGAATGACGCGTGCACGTGTAAGAGAGTCTTCTTCGCTGAAAAAGAATTATTTCCAAGAAGAAAATGGCCACGAAGACTTGAGACGGTGAATGATCGAAACAGAAGGAGAGAGAAAAGATTCGCAAGGCAAACTAGCGCGATATTTAATTCTTTACCATGAACATAGACCTTCGAAAGACATGTCAATCTTAGTCGTCCTACGGATTCGTTACAAACTGTATTGTGCCAAAAGCACGGTAGATGTTTACAGCACATACTGTGAGGTATAAAATTGACAAATATGTTTCCCATTTGTTACCCTTTACAAAGGTTCTCACTCTTTGCGCATGTGCAAGGCCTCCCGCAGTAGCCCTGACTGGATGTCGAGACAATTTCTTACATTTTACGGCTCTCTTCGACATGATAGACAAGATATTTATATATGTCAAAATGGAAAAGAGAGTATGAAACCAGTTTTGCTTTTTTCTGACATATACTTTCCTGCGTTGTATGAGGAACTAAGAAATCTCCCTTTACAGTAATACAGTTGCATCTTCATGTTCTATAACAACCATTTGACCTAAAATGTGGGTTACGGAAAACAGCCCTGCTCTGCACGAAATTATTTGCGGAACAAAAGGTCATATCCGTGAAAACAGAAGAGCGAACTGTATATTTACAGTCTTGTCATTACCTATCGTGATGTTGCGCCTCATCGAAGCCGTACAGCACCGTCAAAAGTACAGTACGTAGTGCTGTAGAACTAAGGCTCAATAAAGAGTGTCAATAAAAATTCATTGCTCGTATACGACATAAAGAAGTTAATCTCGAGAGGGCACGAAAGTGGAGACCTTTCCAGCCTTTCGCTCCTTTCACTACCTGGCAAGGGTTTCGACCGCCGGTGTCCCCTATCGTCCGGAGAACGAAGGCATGGCACGGAGATCGAAACCAAGGCGGGCGAAAGCACCTGTGTGCCACCTGTTCTCACGCATATTTTAGGGGATAGTTCCTGTCTATCATACTGTATGTACTTAGAAACTGCATCGAGATTCGGTTCTTGCATCGGTGAGGACTGTAACTTGACCCATCAATTCTGGCAACGATTCATTCGATACCCTGTTGAATGCTCGGTCGCAGGATGGGTAAGTACCCGATTTGTGATGCCTCTGCTCTTCTTCATTGTCGCACTTCGTATGCAGTCGCTGTTTCATCGAATTCACTCATACAATAGATGCGATTTTGCCATTTTGCGAGAGGAAGTCGGTCTTGTGCCCAGGGGACAAGCTCATTCTGTGTTCCTTCAAGCAGAAGCTTGTATACGGAGAGAAAACATTTTTGTAACCCCATTTCTACATCTACACATTCAATCGCAAGACATTATGACAAAATCTTTCACACATGACCGTGAATTTCAGCTCCTTATTATTCGGAGATGGTTCACAGTCAAACTTTCGAAGAACCGCAGTACACTATTTTAATCGACTGTGAAACAAACTGCCAAACAGTTACGGCTTCATCGTGAGGAGCGCATACGTCTCTCTGTCCCAGCGTGTGTTGGAGCATCCGCCGCACAACGCATGGGTAGAGCGTCTCTGTATAGGGTAGTAACGATTCATGACAAGAGTTGTCACACTGGGGGAGTTACCATCGGATGATTTATTCGGGAAATAAGTCCGCACCATTGTCCAGGACACAATTGATGTAAAATATCGGCTCCCCTTGCGAGGCACAGGGATGTACGAGCCTTTGCGCCGCGCAAGCCGGTGCATGTGCAAAATCTTCACGTTCAAAGATGGTATTCCGTACGCGTGAGACGGGTACATCCAAAGAATGCCGTGTACAGTAGTGTCCCGTGTACACACTGGGTTAAGGTGCGTGCGCGAGTGTCATATGTATGTGCTCCGAGAGGTCGATCGCTCTTTTGATCCGCAACGCCACGTCAAAACTATGTCATCATTCCGTTACCAAGTTGCCGAACCGATGGCGAGTATAGCTGACAGACTGTTCACGAAGATAGTGTTGTAATTCCACTCGGCCACTAGAAACAACCTCGTCGTCGGCAACGTGAATGCCTGCCATAGTAGCACCACCACGTACCTCGTCCTCTATATTGCCGATGATTCGAAGTCGGCTTACTTCGAGTCCTGCCAACTTGTCAGCAAAACACGATGCGTCTTCTTCTGCTGCGTCCGACCAAGTCACATGAGCCACACCGCATCTTTTAATAGCAGCCTTAACACGCTGCACTTCAAACTTGTCGGCCCCAGCACTTATTCGAACGGCAAGCCGCTCAAGGGGCCGATAGCGGAAAACGTTTGTCTCATAAACTAGCTGTGAAGGGTCGTGGTCCTTAGAAAAATGAGATTCCCATGCTTCAACGTCACTCTGAAGGGCATGAGCCAACCATTTCTTGTCTCTCTTGACTTTGTCCGTCTTGAGGCCGAATTGCATCACATAGTTGGGACCTCCAGCCTTTGCTCCAGGTCCGACCACCGATGCTTTCCAACCGCCAAAGCATTGGCGGCGGACGATAGCCCCAGTCGTGCCTCGGTTGACGTACGCGTTTCCAACTTCAACGTTGTCAATCCAGTGGTCGATCTCTCGTAAGTCCAGGCTGTGAAAACCACCAGTGAGGCCATAATCCGTGCCGTTTTGAATTTCAAGGGCATTGTCTAGATCCTTGGCCTGTGCGATTCCCAGTACCGGACCAAATACTTCAGTCTGGTGAAACCATGAACCTGGTTGCACCCCAACTCGAACGCCTGGTGTCCATAAGCGGCAGTCTTTGTGCGCGTCCAAGCATTTTGGCTCTGCGAGCCACTCTTCGCCAGGTTCCGTTGTTGTCAACGCGCGGGACAACTTTCCCTCTGGGGGCATGATAAGAGGCCCCATTACTGTAGAAATTGATGAGGCATCCCCGACCTTGATGCTGTTCACAGCATCAGTTAACTGGCGCCGAAATCGTTCTGAATGGTAAACGTCCCCGATGCAAATGGCCAGACTACTCGCCGAACATTTTTGTCCGGTATTGGAGAACGCAGACTGGACCAGGTCGGCCACCGCGAGATCTATATCAGCAGCGGGAGAAATAACTAAAGAGTTTTTGCCAGAGGTCTATCCAGTTTTCAAGCGTGGCAAGCAAAGTGAAAGACGAGCAAAGAAGTTAGTCAAATGTGCAAAGCGGACGAGGTAACGTGATGTTACACGAGTAGTTTGGGAGTTAAGAAATCGCGTACCTCTGCATACAGGCGGATGTCATGCTTCCAGGACCGAAAAAGTCTTGCTGTCTCAGATGCACCTGTTAAGATCACGGCATCGGATTGCGTGACCAATTGCTTTCCAACATCTCTCTCTGAGCAGCGGACAAGATGGAATGCATCTCTGGGTACACCGGCTTCCCAGATGCACTCTGCAACAATTTCCCCACATCGCGGCGTAGCATGTGACGGTTTATAAACCACGGCATTTCCAGCAGCTATTGATGAAAGGATTCCGCCGCATGAAATGGCGACTGGAAAGTTCCACGGCGCCAACACTGCGACCACGCCGAATGGCTCAAAGCCTGAGGGAAGCTCCTCACCCTTCATTCCATAGTAATTGGCAAAGTCAATGGCCTCACTGACCTCCGCATCTGCCTCCGCAAACGTTTTCGAGCCGTCAAATACCATTGCGTTAATCAAATCCCCGCGTCGGCGCGCGAGGACGTCTGCTACGTTTGTCAAAATTGCGCGTCGTTCGGCTGCCGTCTTTCCCTGGCTCCAGTGTTTCATTCCGGCGCGTGCCTGTTTCAAGATCGAGTCAAGAGCTTCAACAGACTCAACAAGACTTTCCTCAGACACGGGCTTGAAGTGTTTCTGGTCCACGACATTCATGGCCCATGTACGGTTCTGGGGCAAGCAAGGATCCGTGTCTGGTTCATTGATGAATGTTGCGGAATTGGCAAGGCCTTTCATCGTCGAAGCAGAAGCCGGGGATGGACGAAGCTGTCTCCGCCTCGGGCCGACAGAGACATCTTCCCTCTCTGCCGCCCTTTCAAAGCGCTCCCTCTCCATCTCAAACTGTGGCGAGCCGGCCGTGAGCGTTGGCAGCGACCGTAGAAAGTTGCCTTCCGATGACGCTTCCTCAAACCTTCGAAACAGATACGATATAGCCACATCGAAGTCCTTCTCCCGACACACGGGCGTATAGAGCAGCATGCCGTGCCCCTTATCCGCAATGCGCGGCGTATGCGCCGGCGTCATCCCTTGCAGCATCTCAAACCCCACGCGCCCGGTCACACCTCTCTCCTCGGCGAGCACGTGGGCGTACGCCAGCAAGAACAAGTTGTGACTAGCGACGCCAATCCTGACCCTGTCCAGACGTTCCGGTGTCAGTGCCCATTCGAGACAGCGTAGATAATTGGCGTCCGTCTCCTCCTTTGTCAAATACGGGGCCTGCTGCCAGCCGTGTATCGCGGCGTCCACGCGCTCCATCATCAAGTTGGCGCCCTTTACCAACCTGATCTTAATCTGGCCGCGCCCGGGCCTCCGCTCCGCCCAGTGCACAAGCTCCTTGAGCGCCGGCAGGGCGTCTGGGAGATAGGTTTGCAAAACGATACCCGCGTCTAAGTCCTGAAACCTTTCCTCCTCCAGCAACCTCATAAACGCGGTCAGAGTAATCTCCAGATCATGGTACTCCTCCATATCCAAGTTGACCAAGACCTTTGGATTCGCGTGGACCGCGCGCTCAAACAGCGGCCTCAGCGACGCCAACACCCTCTCCAGGCTACCCTCAAAGTCCCATCGATTGAGCTGCGACGTAACACCAGAAACCTTGACAGACACATACTCCACGTTCTTCCCCGCCAGCAACTCAATTGCCTCTGCCCTTCTCCTTTGCGCCTCGCGCTCCCCCAACACGGCTTCACCAAGCAGATTGACATTGCCGCCGGCCTTGACGTTATCCACACGGCCCACAAAATCGCCCACGAGGGCCTTCATGCGCCACCTCGCGGCCGCGATGACGACGCCGGGCACCACGTACGACGCGTACGCGCCCGCGACGAGCAGGGCGCGGTCGAGCGGGCCGAAGAAGGCCGGCAGGCTGTCCTGCACTACGAGCGCGCGCAGCTGGCGCGCGGCGACTGCCGGGGCCTCCGGGCGCATGACGCGGTCGGTGAACTTCATGACGAATGAGGCGGCGGCCGCGTCGCCGGACAGCGCAGACGCCAGGCCGGGGTCCACCGCCGGGTCCGGCGTGGCCCATTCGGCGGCCAGGCGCACGGAGGTCTTGATGC